AGGCACCGGCAAGGAGGTGCCGCGGCGCTGCTCGGTTGCCTCCGGGCTCAGCGGCCCTCCGTCCTCCGCGGGGCTGCCGCACGTACCGGTGGGCTGGTGCGGTGCGTAGAGTTGAGCTTGCTTTAGTTTGGGTAGCGAGCTGGAGTTGTGCTTAATCCAGTTTATGTGGTACTGGCGCTCTGTGGCTAAATACTGGTATTTATTTCCTCACCTTTCCTACAAATTGCTTGGGGGACGCTCCAGAGCCGTGCTTGCCCACCTGCTGCCTCCTAGCACTGCTGCTTCAGGGCCAGGCTTGTCCTCTTTGCATCTCCTCAGTCGCAGCGAACTGCTGAGGTCCAGAGATCCTTCCCATTAATCCCGTGATTTTTGCTTTACACTGTAGAATTTAATTGCAGGTCTAATTTCAATAAATCATTCCTATCCTCCTCATCAATAATGTCAACTAGCTTCATAACCGCAAACCAAACTTTGTTTCCAAGGGTCAGTTTACTGCTGTCTTCTTTCACTGCTATTTGTTGTTGCTTGCCCAATGTCTAGATCTACCAATAATCAACAGTGCCGAGTTTACCTGATGAAGCTGTGATCATTTTACATTGCGTGAACCTCCACAGGTTGAAAAAAAAAAAAAAAATTGCTTCAAACTTATAAAAACTTCTGGATGCCATCCATCCTGTGTGCTGAGCATAAGCTGTGTGTGTCTAGCCCTTCCATCGTACACAGTGTTCCAGCATATTATTTTTATATATTACATAGATTTCCACTGCTGTGCTGCTGCTCTGCACTAACATGCCAGATACAGTTAATGTGTGATAATATTCTCAGAGTTCCGCTGTCTGAGATATTTTCATTCCTATCTTCCATCTTGCCTTTGCCCCTGTAGTTAATACCAACATGGGACATGATCTACATTGTCTTTAATCTGTGTTCCACCCTAATGTCTTAACTTCCTTGCTATCTTTTGAGCTGTGTGAACACAAAATACTTCAGCTATTTGTTTGCATATCCTTGATTTTTTTGACATTTCTTCATGACTTTCAAGAAATAGCTTTCCTAACATAGTAACCAATTTCTTCTACCTTAATTTCCATTCCTGGTGAATTTACCATATATTGGTATTTTCCTCCTCAAGGCAGTTCTTCCTCTAGCTGATTCTGATTCTCAGCTCTGCTAGTTTTCACTCTGGGAATCCGATCCCCGGTAATCCTAGTGCTAAATCTGCTCTTTTTTTCAAGCCCTAGAGTTCGTTTCACTTGCTGACTAGGTACTTTCCTTAGTTCTATCAGGCTCCAGTGAAGGTGATGATGAGGAAAAGCTAACATTTACTGTAAATCGTTTGCTTTAAATGCAAGAAGTTGGAGATACTTACCATGACCTGGTCTTGGATCAGTTAGAGGGCTTCCAAAATTCCACTTTCATGTTTTACCACAGATTTGTCCATATACTGACGTTCTATACCATTGCTAGAGATAACCCACAATATGAAGAAGGAGGCTGCTCGGCATGTTTTTATACTAGCTGTTAATGCCACCAAAACCTCTCGTCTTAGTACTCTGAAGACACCTGTGAAAAATTTTGTCCCAAACACTGTAAATTCAGTAAGACTTGCACCATTTGTATTATGAATACATTTGATTTTCTCCCTCTGTTCATGTTTTGAATTTGTTTAACAGAGGAGGAATAATGATGTCTAAATCCTGCATAGTCCATTTGTCCCATAAGCATCAAAGCTGTCAATCATATTCTAGATTACTTTCTTCAGATTAATTTGTTTTTCAGATTTCCATTTTTTTCAGATTCTTCAGATTAATATATTTTTAACCAAAACTTCTTGCATTTTACTTAAGCTTTTCGTTTACAGGTGTGAACTGCTTATAGACTTTTGCAGTAGAACAGATAAACAAGGATACTTCAACCCTTTTAGTGCAGTGCACTGTCACAGATCCAGCCATGCCTGCGGAAAGGAAAAGTGATATGGAGAGGATTGGCCTCTTCAGTGAAATAGGTTATATTACCATTGGAGATAAATATGTATCACATCATATGCGTAAGTACATTTAATTTTAATTACTATTTAGTGATAGGGACCACCTGTAGTATCCATCTGCTTTCAGAATCACTATTTTCTAATTTGTTGTTGTTGTTGGGAACTGCTTTTTCACACATATTCTTTGCTCAGGTCTGTATTATTAAGAGAAAGGCTTGATATGTTGGAATAAATATATCAAAGAAAGGAGAAATCCAGTAAAAATGAAAAATATGTATGCATAGTGGACTGATAAAATCTTTTAGTGTATACATTTCTTTTTGATATTAATTATCTGCAGGTTACCAGTGTTTTCCTGCTTTTGTGAAAAACAGTGGTGGTTTTTGTTTGCTTTTTCAGCAGGTTTTCTGTTATTGACAATTACACTGTCATTATTTTTAAATGTGTTGCAATTTTTTTTCTGTTCTGATCTGACTCACATGTGTGAGATTGCCCATCATGTCTTTTTAAAGAATATTATCCTTTTTTGTTGTTGTTTAATGGGAATACTCATTGAGAAAGGTGATTTTTGTAACTATTAAGGTTACAGAGGTTAACCCTCAGTAGCTGCTTCAAAGTGATAATGCAAAATAATCCTGGCTTCTCAACACAGACATTTCTGCTGTGTCATTGTGTCAGTGATGAACATGTCTACCAGAACCCCAGAAGATACACTTGTACAACACTGAGCTGCTGGGGATTCAAAACCCAACTTGAGGCACTTAAACTGTTCTACCTGGTTGGTAATCAGTGGGAAAGAGAGATGCTCCTCTTAAGTATTACTCATAGTATATAAATAGGCATCAGCTCTGGCTCTGAATTGTAGTCTGGAGTAACAAATCTCTCTCCATTGCAGGTAAAGCAAGTGCAGGGGTTAGAAAACTAGAACTAAGTACTGTGAATACCTTTTCATAGCATTGTCTTTCAGACACAACCATTTACTTGCATGATTTGTAAGTTAAATGCTCTGTATTACATTCTTTGAGCCACCCAGATCCAGACCTTAGTTTTTTAAATGTAGGCTAAGAGGAGCACTAATATCGAACTGTTATTTACAGTGCTTACTTTTTTAAAGGCCCTTTTAATGAAGCTGCGAGCAAGAACAGACAGATGTTACCTGGGGGGACCAAAACACTGTCAGCTCTGCAGGCAGGTTATTTTGAGCCTCAGTTTGTGAGGATTTTCAATGGTGAAGCCTACTCAAACCCTGTTCAGCTAAGGAGACGCTATAGATTGGCAGAATCAAAGAAAAATTTGGGCAAAGCTTTTCTTCCCAGTAATGGAGACAAATTGCCGTAAGTGTTGTAAAAATGTTTTAAATTGACACTTTTTCTTTTCTGTATGCTAAAGATAATTTTCACAGATTATTTCTTATAAAACCTGTAAAGAGAATACAATATTGTTGTTTATACAATGTAGTGTTAGTCAGTAATGAGCAAATAATTTTGAGCAGTAACAGAGGGAAGGCTGAACCCAGGTAGAAATCAGGTCCTGATGCTTGCTCTTAACTACAGTATTTTGCTGTAAACAGGTATATTACCTCTTAGCTTTTTATTTTCAGTGAAAATGAAGATGGCTATGGGAAAAGGGCGTGGATAATTAACAAATGAATATTTAATTTAGGAGGAAATCTATTGGAATTTGTCAGATACAATATCTTCTCCCTCCCATTTCTGAACCTCCCAAAACAGAGATGGCATATATATTGAATAAACAGTAGAAAAAGGGGCCACTAACCAGGGGCAATGTTTTCCTTTCAGCAAACCCATATCCATAATCTTTTTGCTAGAAAAAAAGCCAATTATCCTACAGGATGACCAGAAGATGAAAGAGCTGAGGAATATATGCAGAATATTAAAATAAATGTATCTTTGCTATTTGCACAACATTAATTGCATGACAAAAGGATACCAATGCAGTTGGTGTCATATAACTATTATTATTCACATGTAAAAAACATATATAGCCTGGTTACTTAATTATAACTATATAGTCTTATTTTGTTCTTGTTTCTGCAATAAGACATGGGAGGATTCAATTTGTGTACAGGGCCTAGTTCTTACAGTCTCATGGTTATATTTAGTCATATCTTTCTGCAGCTTTGCTTTTGGAAAGTTTGGAGAGTAGCCTCTTGTTTATTTTATGTAATTATACTTTAGGATGCAGGGATTAACTATGTTCTGTTATATGTTATGGGAACATCTTAGCTTTTAATAGGAATGAAGACATGATGTGTAGGTCCTCTGTTTCATCTATGTGTACTATTTCTGATGGGATAGACAATGCGTGAGCCTTATATTCAAAACATTCTTTCAAGTACAACTTTATAGCAGCCAAATTATTTATAAGGGTTTAACTGTTAGAAATACCTAGGCACTGATTTAAAATCCATTACAGTCAATGAGACCCTTGTTCACTTACTTTCTGGGTTCTGAGTCCAACAGTGGAGGGGTCTCACTTACAATGAAGACTCACTCATGTGCTTTCTTCCATGTACTGCCTCCACAAATGCATTTGCTGGCTGTGGGTGCTGCAGCTCATGCTCTCACTCTTGTTGTAAGACCTTTGAATTCTTCTAGACATGAACTTTAGGACAGGTTCTTTATTGTCTTTATCCTCCCCTAAATCTGTACTAACAGAGTAGTCTGAAGCAGAGGCTGGATAAGTGGATAGGTTGTCTTTTAACGGAATCCTGAAGCAGTTATGGAGAGCGGTTATACATTTCTTACATCCAAAACTGACTCCCTTTTTAACTAAGGAACTGGCGCAAAGCTCTGTTGCTGTTCGTTGAGTTGTTCTTGCCTGCCTGAATGATAAGTGGCTCTTGGGAATCTTTCCTTTACGTTGGAGCCACATTTGTTGTTGGTTGAAATGGAAAGGTTGCAAAGATGTTATATTCTGAAGACGTGACTGAATCCTGGGCCTTTTTTTTTCTATTTTCATGTCCTCTGTTATTTTGTTACTGGCATATAAAAAGCCTACACACCCAAGTGACATTTAAAGAATATGAAATAAAACGCTTAAGAGCTAGGGAGCACCAAGATAAAGGTTGTCTGTGCATTGCCAGTTTGCCCATTTTTATCTCTATTTATGAAGTCTCTAAATAGTGATAATAGATTTATCTCTATTTATGAAGTCCCTAAATAAAGGGAGGGTAATGAACAGGCAGGTTAGAGTTCTGTGCAAAGATGACAAATGTTATCTTGGCATCCTAATCCTGTCAGTATTCATCAGTGACCCTTTTAAGTAGGACCTCACTGAGACACTTTACTCTCTCCCCACAATAATTGCAGGCAGTACAGGCAAAGCAGATTACCTCAGCTATCTGAAGTAGTTGACAGATCTCATACAGTAGCCCCTGTTTAATTTTTTCTGTTCTGTTTTGGGGTTTTGAGGCATGGGCATAGAGGGTTGGTTGTCTAGGGCTTTTTTGGACCACTGTAGCTGCAGTTTAGTGGACCAAATTGCCACTCAGCTATTTCATTAATTTGTTTTGGTCCTTTTCTCCTTTAGCAGCTCTATGGTCATGTACTTTAAGAGCATGTCATACACTTGTCAGCAAATACTGATTTTCAAGTTGGTCTTCAAAAAAACATTTTTGTGAACTCCCATAGCTTTGTAGACAGAGGCTTTTCTCCTGAATGAACTGTGCCTCCTTTTACTTTCCTTCTGTGACAAGACAGAAAGTTAACTAGCCCTAACATCTCCCTGAAAAAAAACCCTTTCAGACAGGTACCCTTCCAACACTAACACTGTTTTCTGTAAACTTGTGGGAAAGACTGTCCTCTTGTCATCAAGCATCAAATCTGTTTAACCTATTCTTCTGGGTCTCTGGAATCTGTCTCTACCAGCTTTCCTTCACCTTGTTGGTGCAAAATTAAAACCACCTCTATTAAGGATATTTATATTTTTAAGACACCTTGAAACTCCATCTCTGCCACTATCTTCTTTTTTGTCCATAATGCTGTGCATGGAATTGCTGTAGTAGATCCACAGATGGTGGATCCGATCTGGTTTTATATTTAACTCTTGAGATGTATATATTGTTTGGGTTTTCTACTTACTGTCATTTTGGCACGGTAGATATGAAAAGCCTGAAATATTTGCAAAACATTAATTAATGTGTTCCTTTGCTATTTTCAGATGTGGACGTGGCAGCTATTATGGAACCATAGGAGGTTCGTATGCATACTTCAGTCCACAGCTGAAAGCCAGAGGAAGATACATTCCTCCTGGAAGGAATTTTTATACTAATCCAGGAAAGAAAGGAACTGGATATGGGTAATTCTACGATATTGTTTCTTGCAGAGTATTTTATTAAATGTTTCTTGAGTTGTGAACACCTAAGTAATTAATTTTGTTAATTACAGTTATGCAAACCTTACCATAGGTGAACAATATTTGCATGAAGCTGATGGGTATGAAGCAGAAAGAATAAATGCAAAGGTAAAAATATTTGTCTTTATTATGTATTAGTGTTATGATTATTTATTACAATTTACATGAGCTTTTTGTACTCTGTTTTCTTTAGCTTGAAATCACAAATGTTTATTTACAAAGTGGAAGAAGGAAAACAAATTAATGACCATCTTGTATAAAAAAGATTTAGGTATTGTTAATTTATTATTTTTTCTTTGTGACATCTGGCAGTATTTGTGGTTTTTTTTTTTTTATTTGGAGATCTCAAGCTACAATGCAATAATGGCCAAACAATGCAAATAGCAAGAACAATAATACTTCTGTGTTGTTGCCAGAAGAATGATATATAGATGCTATATAAAAAAAGCCTGTCCCTTTTGTTATGTAAGTTTATAAATCTAAGAAAACTCATAAATTTGCTTGCACTGATTTTAGTTATCCTGTATATTTTCATCATATGTAGTGAAAAATGGCAGCAGGAGGACATTTCTTGGTCTAGGATAAGAACAAGATTAGAAGAAACAATTCACTTACCTGCAGGAGAGACAAATTCAGTCAGAAGTAAGCATCCAGTGCAAAAGAAGTTAGAGTGAACATTCTCCAAGACTAAATCTAAATGCATTCTGTTTTTCTCTTAGACTAACATACCATAAAAATCCTCAAGATTATTTCTTTCCAAATATTTGTTTTACAGAAAGTGCAAGAGGAACATAAACGGTTGGTTAAAGGAGGGCCTTTCAAGCTAAATCTGTATCCCCAGGAGTATTTTGACATTAATCCCTATTTGAATGACAAACCTTTGCCACCTGTGAAGAAACCACCTTCAGAGAAGCCACCTGAACCACCTTTCAAACCAAGTTCTCCTGCTAAAAAGGTTAGTTTGTCTTAGAGCTACTGGAGACAGAAGATAAATATTCAGGTATTTCCTGAAATACCTGAATTTGGTTATACTACATAAGATAGAAATAAATATTTGGTTTTGCTATTCGTTTCTTATTTTTCTTAGAAAAGATATTATTCCATTTACTTTGTTTTCAATTTACAGAGCAATGACATCTTGTTTGACCCAACAACTGCTGACCAGTTTCAAAGTAATGTAAAAAGTGTTTCTCTTTAAAATCTGCACAATTATGTTAACATACAGTTAATGACTGCATACACCACAAAAAGGCACAAAGCAGAAGGTTATACAATAAGTGACAGTAAAACTAGATTACTGTAGCAAAATGAAATATGCTCCTATTTTGGATTATGTCAGTTACTCATATATTTTTGAACCAGCTCATTACTCCTAGCCTATATAGACGAACATCTAAAAGATAATTTCTAGAATGGGAATGGATAGCTGGAAGGAGCAGAAAACCTCAGGTTAGTTCCTCTGCTCAGGGAAAGGCTGCTGAACAAACTCAGGAGTTACCTGTTGCTTGTCTATCAGCAGACACAAATTTGGAATCTGCTTTAGAATTTTCCAATTCTTCAGTAGTTAGGAGAAAAGAAGGAAAAGGATGAGAATAAATATATGTGGGAGGGCTTAGACAGCATAAGAAATAAAGCCTGGAGCCAGCATGAAGAATATATAGGAACATAGTTCATTAGTTACAGTTGCTTACTGCCATTATTTCTTAAAATCTAAATGGATATTTCTGCATTCCATCATGATATATTTTTTTGAGATAAGATACTAGATTTATGCCATCCACCTTAGGCTAAACCTTAATTTCACTTTGAAATGGGTTCAAGATGCATAAATATATCTCTCTTAAACGACTCCAGATACCTAATACAGTAACACCCCTTAATCTGTCCCTTTTCAGCTCTTCATGTTGGAGTTCCATTGTCAGTCATTTAATACTATGCTCTGCTAATCACTGTTTTCCTATTATTATGTCCTTCACCCTTGACTTATTTGACTGACGTTGATTGATCTCAGGAAGATGACGATAGCAGGGAAAATATAACTATTCAGGAAGAGACAGCAAAAAGCTAACACATGAATAATTGTGTGGGCTGTTTGGCCTCATTAGATGAGGCAGCTGGGATATCTCAGAATGGAAATGTGTTCGGAAAAGTTAGCTGCTAGAAAGTCAGCACCTTGTCTGACTGACAGTGCTGGTGATCCTGCTTCAGGCTCCCCATCCTTCATACCTACCATATATGCTTTCCTTGTTATATTTAAATTATGTGTACTTCCCAAGCTACTGTACACTGTTCCTCTCTGCTATATAAATTCTTATGGGAAAAATAGCTTTATTGTTGATTGAATTGCTTACTGCTGCACTTTTCAGGAATGCAGCCTCACCACTGTGGGGTTTAGCTGTACTAGAGGATTGCAAGGAATTAATCAGGTCTCTGCATATTTTTTGACTAAAATTTGCCACTCTTGTAGTACTAGTGGACATAATATTTCAGGAAAAGTCAGTGCTATATTCAACCCTGTATGTCAGAAAGCATATTGATAATAATGCCTAAGCCCTGCTGTATGTAACAATCCCTACACCAGTACAATGTGGAGGTGCACTGGTAAACTAATAGTGACATAGGTATTCCCTTTTTTCTTGTCACAACATAGCTCATTTTAGTGAGTTATGTTTTTAATTTTTCTGTCACATTTTTAAGATACTTCCCTCAAAATCCAGACTTATGAAAGAACATTTAAAACTAATAATTCATCAAAATAATGACTAAAATGTTTCTTAAAGTTTCCACTGCAAATTTAAGGCATATTTGGTTTGTGTTTTTTTACATAATATGATGCAGTCTGCTATTCAGTATTCTTACTTGCTTTTGCATGAAAAATATTTTTAACTCAGTTATATTGTAAATTGGCACTTCAAAAAGTTCGTTTTTTTCAGTCAGGGGGCATGAAAGGAGGCACATTTGATCCTTACCCAAGCCATTCCACTGACCCTTATGAAATTAAAAAATCTGATGCTGTCACAACTAATAAAGGACGACAGATTTTTCGTCCTCCTGCTGGACCAAAAAGCAGACCTGTTAGAAGCATAATAACTCTAAATGTCACAAGGTAAGCTCCTTTACTTTTTGTTCATGTTTCATGTATGCCATCTACCAGAAGTCATTAGCACAGCTGCTTATTAGTCTAAACTAAATGAATAAATGAAGGAATGAATTATTAACAAAATGATAAGAAATGTATAAGAAACTTGGCTTTCAAAATGTATTCCTATTCTTTTCTGTAAATTCAGGTTACTTTATAAGGCTATACAGATCATAGAGACCTTCAAAATCATGCTATTATAGATGTCACTGAAAAATTATTATTTTTATTCCTTTCTGATTTGATAAATGTTAAAAGACCCAGAATGTTTCTGTTAAAAACAAAATCTGTCTTTGTTTTCCCTTATGTCTATAGAATAAAATTGGCTCCCTCTGCTGGCAAACATATTAGAGAATCAAAGCCCATGAAGCTTTTGAAACAGCAGCACCCAAATTGGATTCCTAACTACAAACGTGTCACTGTGCAATGCTAGAGGAGATTTATAGTACACAGTATATGTATATGGGTAGATAAGCACATAATTTTTTTTTTTTTAATCTTACTAAGCTATAACCATTAAATAAATTTATTTTCTGGTTTTGGGTCTGTTGTAATTCAAGCAGAAAACCAAGACTGTGTTCTTCAGAGTTATTTTAGAGAACTCACTTGTAAACACAGACTTCTAAGACTACATGGAGAACAGTTAAGCATATGATTTTGCGTACTCCATGAGTAACATGAAATATTTTGGAAATACTTGATAAAAAATTGAAAAATGGTCTTAGAGGAATCTGCTTCACATTTGTAATTTGTAATGTCTTTTACATATCATACATGAAGTCTTAAAAATACACGTCCTGTATTCACCCACTGCTGTTCTGTTTACTTTATTTCACCATGTATTGGCATTTGCATAATAATTTTTTAAGTTACAGGGATAGTTTTATTTACACTGACAAGGCAGAACCAGAAGCGCTTTTCGTTACTAATGGAAAGTAATAAAGAATTGAAAATAACTTTTTGGTACACCAAAAAGTGTGGCAACTACCAACACTGATGTAAGAAAGTACAACCTTTCATGCATGCATTGGTGTTTTTAAACTAGTAAAAGGGAAAAATAATGGCATATTGGTCTGAGTAGCCTTCTTAACAGTGTAATTGTATTAATGTTTTATCAACAGAATAAAAATTCATGTTCCCAAATGAAATGTTTTTATGGGAAAAAAACCCTAACTGTATGTGAAGTAGGATTCAAAATTGAAAGGGGGGGGACTGATTGTGAAGTATCACTGTGCTCACAGAAACAGTAATGGTGGACTCATTAAAAATATTTGTAAAGAAAAAAAATTCACATATCCAACAGAAATTCTGCAGAGAGAAATTAAAACTAGTATTTCAAGTTCTACACTGCTATTTCTCTCCTAAGAATTTCAAAGAATGTATTTATTTTTGGTTCATTATTCCTATGTTTAATAGAATGAGAATTGTGAACTGAATTTAGTAGAAGTATGAAGCTTATAGCTCATAGATTTTAATAAATGTGGTAAGCCATTTTTCAAATCATCTGAACCACTGAATTATGGTTCTTTATGTACTTTCCAATGGAAATCTTCTGATATTTGGACCATAATCCTATAATTGGATTTGCTAGTGTAGATTCTTGCTGTCACACAGGATTCTATTTAAATAAATATGACTTTTATGAGGATTCAAGTAATTAAATCTAATTACTGGACTGGGTATACCAATTTTTTTCCTTTTACAGAAACTCTTGCAATTTGTACAGTGATATTCTACAAAAATCTAGATAAGTTTCTCTTCATTTAGATTTCAGATAAAAAATCTAAAAGTTTCTCTTCATTTACATTTCAGATCATTAAATGTAAAGAACTACAAGACTGCACAGCTGACATCTTATTAAGTACAAAAGGTGAAATGAAGGGTATACATTTTAGACTATGTAAGCTGTTAACAAAGCAAATAAAAAAGTGAAAAGTAGAATCTGAGTATATAGGGCAATCCAATCTGTTTAATTACTGAGAATGCAAGCTTTTGCTTCTAAATATAAAGCTATAATAAACATTTCAAGAAAATCTATTTATTAAGCCCAAGGGTGTATGCTTTTATATAAATTTTCATCTTACTGCTTAACTGGACTTTTGAAACATACTTTTAGGAAATGGGAATAAATTAGGTTGCAAATAGACTATATATTGCAGTGGAAGAAAGTGCATAAAGTGAGTATCTGTGTATGTATTAACCAAGTTAGTTACGTGGCCCACAGTGAAACTAAGGTCATTATTTCCCTTTAGTAGAATTACAACTTGCACTTTATTTCAATTATAATTTGTGTATGAACTGTCTTAAAAATAGGTAATTTTTAGCTTTGATGACCTTCTCAAAATGATCAACCATTGTTAAAAACCAGACCTCAAGCAGGCTGTTATGAAGGGAGTTGTCGTCTCTACCAGCATCTATCTACTGCTCTTCCTCAATTTCCTGACAACCATAAATGCTGCCATATTGTGCAAGAGCAGCTTAATTTCACTTTGCGTACATGGAAGGTTCCGAACAAATCTGATCCATCTTTCAAACTAGCTTCTTGGGTGGAACTGTGATCTTAAATGCATCTCACCTCCATCGTAATAATTTTTGTCAGGTTTTTAGATGTGGTCCAAGAAATTTGTGTAAATCAAAGCTAATTTACTAGAAAAATTTAAAAAACCCTCATCATTTATTTATCTGAGTTATTACATGAAGACAAAATTTATTAATTTTATTAAAGATTTATCGTACCACTGTAGAATATTCATGAAATGGTATCCTTACTGCTGTTCACAGAATCATAGTTTTTAAAAGAAATTCCAGACTGGATCTCACATTTCCTGTCATCAGTGAAAAGAAAACTAAACCCAAGAATTGTTGGTCAGGTCTTCCAGCATGTGCTGAAGCATAAAATCCCTTACCTTGAGATCAATAAGACTCAACAATATTTTAAAATATTAATTTATACACGAATTTTGATGATTTCTCTATCCAAAGACCTATAACAGAATTCCTTCTTTCTTTGTTTATACATTCTGTTAGATAATGGTACTGGTGCTGACCTTGGGTACCTTAATGTCATCTTTGTAGAGAGTATCAGGAGCCTTTGCCATGTTGTTCACTTCTGAAGTCTGCAGACACAGCATTCCTAGGTAGATTGAACTGCACTGTACTTCTAAACTGCTTCCTCCTAACTGCTGTTCTGATGTAGTAGAGCTGATGAAGACTGCTCTGAAGTTTTTCTTTAAGTCATTCTGTCTCTTTTTCCAAGTCTTCCTCTTCTATTTTATTCTGTATTTCAATAATCTTTTCATTCATTAAGAAGATGGAAATACTGAAAGCTGATTAAAATGTAGGGAGCTTAATTAAAAAAAAATCAATCTGGCTTAGTAATGTTAGTGTATGTGGACTAGCCTCATGTGGTCATCGTGTGGAAGCCAATATTTTCAACTGATTAAGTCCCCACCAGAAAATGGTGGTCCCAAGGAGCTGACACCCAGTTCTAGCTAGGGCCTCAGTATGCTTTTGATTACAAGTGATAATTGTGTCCCTTGGCTTCTTGGCAGTACCTTTGACTGTGATGGTGGAATTTAGAACTTTCTTGAATTTCCTTACCCAGTTATCTAAGGTAAGGAGGACATTGGACATCACTTACATTGTTTTTATAGTAACAGCTTCCCTACATCCTTATGGTATAGATATAGCCAGTCACATTTATAACTGATTCTGACCAGAATCTAATAGTTACAATCTGAAGCAACTTCATGCTTATGCAAGCGTTAAACACCTGACCATCTAAAGAATGGCCGTTTTCTTTAACTGGAACTAAACCAATATGTGATTCATCTAAAGAGGTCACGATTTTTGTACTTTCTTTTAAGTTATTTAATTTTTCTCTGGATAAAACTCCAGATTTTTCTGTATTATCTGCTAACAAATCCAAATCATTAAAGACTGACTTCTGAAATTCTTGTTTCAGCAACCTGGTAGGATAGTAAGTATTGTCTATTTTATGAAATTCTTTCCCAAATTTGGGAAAAGGTATATGATGTTTATATTCACTCAAAATGACCTTCTCATTTAATTGTTCTGTCTCCAAATCAGTGCCAGATAGCAAATGTTCACATTTACGTTCATTTTTGATTGCAAGTATCTTGTTGTTTCCAAACAGATCTTCTGAATTTTCAACCTTTTCAGTTGCTATGGTTTTAAGTGAAATCCTGGGTGGAATTTTTATATCACTGACGACATTTCCAGTATTGGAATTTGCTTCCATATGCTCATCTGAATAGCGTTGTTGATCATGATGAACTTTTTACTTAAAAGGCAGTGATTCAGGATTTTCCATAAGCTACCCCACAAAATTAAAAACAAATGTACAAAAAACTGTCATGCTGGAAAAACTGTGAAACATTGCAGTACTGGAAGCACAAGACAACTACATTGTTACCAGAGCCACTTATCAATCAAGACTTGTACAGTTTACCTCTTCCAATGCCATTTACCCATTAAAAGAACATAAACAATTATCATAGGCCCCATTTAATTTAGTACTGGGCTTTGGAGCAGGCACATAATACCAAGTGTCTTAAACTGATTATATTTCCAGCAAGGGATAAATGAACTTAGGGAGACTGCAGTTTGTCTTTGATTGTTTTCACAGAATCAACTAGGTTGGAAAGGACCTTGAAGATCATCTAGTCCAACCATTAACTGACATTCCCAACTATACCATATCTTTAAGCGCTTAAAGATGATTCTACTTGATTCTACTCTTAAACACCTCTAGGGATGGGGACTCCACCACCTCCCTGGGCAGCCCATTCCAACCCCTAACAACCCGTTCTGTAAAGAAATGCTTCCTAATATCCAGTCTAAACCTTCCCTGGCCATTACCTCTTGTCCTGTTGCTTACTACTAGGTTAAAGAGGCTCATCCCCAGCTCTCTTGCAACCTCCTTTCAGGGAGCTGTAGAGGGCGATGAGGTCTCCCCTCAGCCTCCTCTTCTCCAGACTAAACACCCCCAGTTCCCTCAGCCGCTCCCCGTACGACCTGTGCTCCAGACCCTGCACCAGCTTCGTTGCCCTTCTCTGGACGCGCTCGAGTCATTCAATGTCCTTTTTGTAGTGAGGGGCCCAAAACTGAACACAGGAATCGAGGTGTGGCCATAAAACCGGTATGTTAAACATACCAGAGATTCATCACTTAGTGTGCAAGTCATTGGAATCTTGGCTGAACTATGTAGTGAAGTTTTCCTTTCTAATATATTTTTATTTAGTATCTCATGGATTTCAGACTGTGCCTGAAAAAGACTGAGATTGTTTACAGAAAACTTAAATGTAGAAATATTTAATTTCCCAAACATATCCTATTACTCAAGTTCTCTCTTAGGAAGGCCAGACCAGATGGAAGTGGCATGTAGGCATACAGAACTGTTTATAACCAACAAAGTGTAAAGCTAAATGTCCTTCCAGCATCAGCTTTAGGTTTAGCCCCGTTGCAGTTCCTGGCGCAGGACGGGATGCTCTGCGGCAGCACTGGTGCCTGGCAGGTCTCTGAAGAAGCAGCCCGGGCTCCCGCCAAGAGCGGGTGTCTCTTCGGAAGAGGTGAAGCAACCACGCCAAAACCAAAACATGCACGTCGGTCGAGGGGCTTCCGGCACCGCCCCGCCGGCCGGCAGCTCCGCCGGAGGCCGCTCTGGCCACGCCACGGCGGGGGCTGCTGCCTCCTTGCCGCCCCG